GAGAACGAGGACCACCAGGAGGAGGAGGAGGAGGAGGAGGAGGAGGAGGAGGAGGAGAGGAGGAGGAGAGAACACCAGGAGGAGGAGGACGAGCAAGACGAGGAGGACGAGAACGAGGACGACCAGGAAGAGGAGGAGGAGGAGGAGGAGGGGGGAGGGGGAGGACTACCAGGAGGAGGAGGAGGAGGAGGAGGAGGAGGAGGAAGAGGAGGAGGAGGACGAGGAGGAGGAGGAGGAGGAGGACGAGGAGGAGGGGGGGGGGAGGCACCAGGAGGAACGAGGACCAGGAGGAGGAGGAGGAGGAGGAGGAGGAGGAGGAGGAGGAGGAGAGAGCACCAGGAGGAGGAGGACGAGCAAGACGAGGAGGACGAGAACGAGGACGAGCAGGAGGAAGAGGAGGAGGAGGAGGAGGAGGAGGAGGAGGAGGAGGAGCAGGAGAAAGAGGAGGAGGAGGAGGAGGCAGGCTGAGGCTGAGGCTGTGACTGCGACTGCCGTTGCCGCTGCGACTGTCATCGCGAATGCGACTACGACTGCGAGAACAGCAGCATTCGACAACTGGATTTTCATCTGAATCTTAAGGGGAATGCTTTCAGATATGCTTCTACACATCGCTGTTAGGTTGCTTTGCCGGGATAATTTGAAAACCTAAGGAACATCATTGATTCTAGCCTCTTCGGGCCCTCCTGGAGGACCTCTTGGAGGCCTCTTGGGTCGTCCTGGGAGGCATCTTGGGCAACTCTTGGGCCGTCTTGGGCCGTCTTGGATGTTTCTTGGGCGGACTTGGAGGCATCTTGGACTCTCTTGGGCCGTCTTGGAGGCCATATTGGACCATCCTGGGCGAACTTGGAGGCCATCTTGGCCACCTTGGAAGCCATCTGGGATCCATCGGGAGCAGGAAAACCTTTTGAAACCACCCTTTCTGGGCCATTCCGGGCTGGCTGGGCCGGAGCCCCAGGGTGAGTTATAAGAAAAAACATAACCAAAGGCGACAGGATTTAGCACGCCGGGCACCCTTGTGATAAATCAACAGGGGGCGGCGGATCTAGTGGCTTTCGACCTATTCCGCCACCGTGCCTGGGTGGTGGGTCACAGACCTCATGTGTGTTGGTTGGGATCTCGTGATTGACCTCTCGGGGGCCTCTGGAAGGCAGTTTTGAGGGGTCTTGGGAGCATTTTTTTGGCCTCTTCGGGCCTCTTATGGGTCTCTTGGGGGCCTCTTGGGTGTCTTGGGGGCGTCTTGGGGGCCTCTTGGGGCCTCTTTGAGCCGTCTCGGGGCCTCCTGGGAGCGTCTTGGGGCAGAAGGTTAGATTTTTCAGTTCCTGGTTCCCTTCTTGGGCATCTCTTGGGCCCGTCTTGGGAGCCTCTTGGGCCGTCTTGGGGCCTCCTGGGGGCGTCTTGGAGCCCTCTTGGGCCGTCTTGGGGGGGCGGCTCGTGGGCCGTCTTGGAGTTGGAGCCCTCTTGGGCCGTCTTTGGGGCCTCTTGGGCCATCTTGGAGCGGGCTTCGGGCCCTCTTGGGCGGTCTTGGAGCGTCGGAAAGCCGTAAGGGCAAGAATCCCAATTACCTTGCGAAAATAATGAAAATCAGCGATTTTGGCCTCTTGGGGCCCTCTTGGGAGGCCTCTTGGAGGCCTCTTGGGGCGATTTGTCGGCCTGTAGGGCCGTCCTGGGGCCATCTTGGGCGTCTTGGAGCGATCTTTGGGCATTCTTGGACAATTTAGGAGGCGTCTTAGTCCCCTCTAGGCATGTTTTGGGGCCCTCTGCCCCCCCATCGCGCGTTCGGTCCAGGGTCGTACCGGGCCGGGGGGGATCAAACTCCCGATTTGAAATCCCTCTGGCGGGATTATGGGGGAGAAAGAATCTCACACGCCTAGAAACCCACGAGGGGTCGACGGATTTGATGGAAGAGATGCGGGACATAGCACAGTCGACCCGCATAGTGAAGATGAGCGATTTTCCACGGGTACCCTTGCATTACTCCCCTTCGGCCCATCCTCGGCCGCTTTCGCTGGGCGCGCAAGGCCCTTACATCCTTACCGCGCGTCCTTCTTCTACGGGTCGACTGCACGAAGAACTGAAGCGATGAGTTGCCAGACAAGCTGTCGGGCCCATGGCGCCACCGCTCTGTTTCTGGAGAGACCGCGCCCCAGCGCGCATGGGAGCGTCCTTCCGTCCGTCCGTCCGCCCTCGTAGCCCTTGCGACGGCGCTGCGCAGCATGGTGCCTCCTCCTGCCGAGCCGAGCCGATTTGATCCGTGCCCGTTCCGACGGCGCTGCGGAGCACGACGCTCTGGAGGGGCAAAAACACATGCAGACACTCGTCGATTCCCAGGAACCGATGGGACATATGGGAAGTGGAGGGGGAGAGACGAGCATCCAGAAAACACGGAAAAGATTTTGGAATCTTGTGATATGTGTCGATTTGTTTGTGTCCCTGGGCCTCTCTAGAGGCTTCCTCCTGTCGAGACGATCCCATCCGATCCGTGCCGCTCGTTCCGACGGCGCCGCGGAGCATGACGCTTCTTCCTTCGGGGCCGATCTATGGCCACCGCCCCCGCGCACGCACTTTGTGCCAGACCAGCTTGCTTGCGAGGGTGGTGTGCAAACGTCGTGCCCCCGGAGGATGCCATTTTTGCACGCGCAGCCCCCGGCCCCCGGCCCCCGGTCCTGTGCCGCGCCGGCTTGTTTGTGCGGTGCTCTGGCCTCGCGGCGGTGACGGCTGCGCCACGCGCCCCGGGGAAAGATTTGTTCCCTTCAGCGGCCCCGGACCGTTTCGAAGACCGATTTCTGACCACACCCACCTCTGGATCCTCGATTCTACGATAGGCCCTCGGGGGTGGAAGTGGGTAGTTGTTCCTTCCCCTGGGGCGGGGAAACTGCCTACCTCCACCTCTGGAAACCGCTTTTCGCGAGGCACCTCGGGAAGTGGGTGTGGTCAGAAATCGGTCTCCGACCGTTTCCCCCTTCTCTTCGGCCGTCGCTTCGCTGTCTCCTCCCTCCCCGCCTGCACGGTGGCACAGTTCGCGTCACGGCAGCCCCGTGTTGCTCTCCCCCTCCCCAGCGCAGTGACTTTGCCCAGACGCCGGCGCAAAAAGCTTGCGCGGCGCTGTGCGAACATCGTGGCCCCTCCCCTGGAGCCTCTTCAGACTTAAGTCGGGCCTGTCGCTATACAGGGGGACAATTCGAAAATAGGCAACAAATACTCTGTTTTTTATTATTTTCATCATTTGGGATTATGTTTGAATATTTTCAGTTTTTTGTCGGCCAGAACCTTCCTGTAGGGGGACACGCCCGACCTAACTTTAGACGCTTCCCCCTCCTGCCGAGCCGATCCGATCCGGTCCCTGCCCGCCTCTTGCGCGGCGCCGCTCGGCCCCCGGCGCCCTCTCTCTCTCTGCCCGGCCGCCGCCCCCCCCCTGCGCGCGGCCCGGCCGCCGCCTGCCGCGCCTCCCCGGCGTGCCAGGCGACGGGCCACGCGCTGCGGTTTCTGTGGGGGGGGCGACTTGCGTTTTTGGACCCTGAGATCCGACGCTCCCCAAAAAATGAAGCGGGCGGTTTTGGACAGGTCTCGGCCTTTTGGGGGCCCTCGCCGGGCCTCGGGAGCGTCAACAAAACTACTCAGGACGAAAAACCGGTCCCGGGGAAGTGGTCCTGACCTCGTGGGTCCACGCACCGCAAAAATTGGAGCAGCCGGATGTCTGGGGACCTCCTGGGAGGCCCCCGTCGCCACCGCTGGATTCGCCTCGGAGTTCTGGTCAGGCCGCGCCGCCTGAAGCGTCTCCCCGGCGTGCTCAGGCGACGGGCCACACGCTGCATCTTTGGGAGAGACTTGCCCTTTTGGGCCGCCTGGGAGGCTCGCAGGGCCTTCTGGGAGCCGCTAGGGGGCCCCCTTTGGGCCAGCTTGGCGCCGTTTCGAGCCCTCTTGGGCCGTCTTCGGCCGTCTTGGGTCGTATTGGGCGCTTCTTGCCAGAGGAGGAAAAGGTACCCATGCCGCTGCCCTTGCCTCGTTGGTGCATTTCTGGACCTCCTGGGATGCCCTCGTCGCCACCGCCGGATTCGCCTCGAAGTTCTGGTCAGAACGCACTCTGGGAGAAGTCCAGGGAGTAGCGGTATCGGTACCTTTTGCCGATGATTCTCAGGACGTGTGTTAGCCTAATGTATGTTTGACCCCGTGAAGCTCCATCCGGGTCGTATTGAAGGGCTTCGGACGACAAACACGTTTCAGGAGGGGGAAAAACACACAGACACAATTAATCGTCGATTCCATAGAAAATATTGGCAAATATGGGAAGTGGGGGGGAAGATAGAAACCCAGAAAATATAGGAAAATATGGGGAATAGTTTGATATGTGTGTATTTCTTTGTGTGTCCTGGGGCCCCTTCAACGTTTGCGCTGACACACGTTTAGAGGATCATCGATCTCGGTTTCTCCAGAGAGGACAGGCAGCAACCGCAATGGGGGAAAGGCTGCGTGAGAGGAGGGAGATGGTGCCAGATGTGGCGCGAGTGTCCCCAGTCAGCCCATCCTCTCGTCTGTCGTTTTGTTCTGTCGCTCGTCTTCCTCTTCTATCATATCTCCGCCCTCTTCTCTCCCGTCTGCTCTCCTCCACGCCTCTCCCTCCCCGCGCTTTGATCCTGGACAAGTTGGCGCGGTGGGTGACGACTTCCCATCTCGGTGCCGCGGCAGTGTCTCATTCGCTCTCCCCCTTCCCGATCCCCAGGCCCCGTCCTCTCCTCCATCCCCTCTTCCCTCCTTCCCCCGTCCTCCCCTTACATGACCCTCCTCCCCGTCATCCTCCGCCCACTTCCTTTACCCACCTCCTCGATGCTGCCCCATTCCCTCCCCCTCCCCCTCCCCCTCCTTCCCGCGTCCCCTTCCCCTCCCCCTCCTCCCCTGACCTTCCCCTCCCCCCTCTTCTCACTCCCCTCCTCCTCCTCCTCCTCCTCCTCCTCCTCCTCCTCCTCGTCCCCTCCCTGCCTCGCCCCCGCGGCTCCTCGAAGCAGGTGCACCTTTGTGGACCCGGTGTGCTTCATGCTGCTCAAGGCCGAGCTCCCAGCCCTGCCTGCTCGGGCAGCCGGGAGTTCGGTGAGCGAGGGCGCGATTCTGGAATTGTCTGCGTTCTGGACCTTCTCTTGCGCTCCCTCCCTCCACTGTCCTTGCCTTTCCCGTCCTCCTTCCGAGTTGCCTCCTACTTCCTACCGTCAAGTGCATCACGCATCCTGCCCTTCCTCTTTCCCTCCTTTGTCCTCCTCGCCATCCTCGTTGCTTGGCATTCCTCGTTGCCTCCGCTTTGTCCCCTGCTCCTTGGCAGAGGATGTTGTGCAGTAGCATGGTTGCCACATGGCAGATGTTGAACAGAGTTTCACAACGGTTGATTTGCCCCAGCCCGAGCCAGGATAGCTTTTTCCCCACTTGACCCCACAGACGGCTTCATGGGCTTGAGCACCGGACTGCACTCCCTCCCATTCTCTTTTCCCCTCTTCCCACCCATGTTCCTCCTCCTCCTCCTCCTCCTCCTCCTCCTCGCAACCTGTTTTCACACCTCTTCGTGCTCCTCCTTGGCTCAAGGGAGCTGGCCCTCCTGCCTCGATCCGTGCCCCGGCCTCGACTCGCCGGCCGGGCCGCGCGGGCCCCCCCCGAGCGGATGGAGGCCATGCTCGCCGAGATAGCAAAGATGCAGGGGCCCGGCGGCTTCGACTTCGTGGTCGTGGGGCGTGGCTCTCCTCCTCCTCCTCCTCCTCCTCCTCCTCCTCCTCCTCCTCCCCTCCTCCTCCTCCTCCTCCTCCTCCTCCTCCTCCTCCTCCTCCTCCTCCTCGTTGGTCGTTGGCCCGGGGGGGTCAAAAATGGGGGGGTCAGAAAAGGTCCCCTTCCGTGCCCCCTTTCGGGCCCCTCCAGGGCCCCAGGGGGGCTCGTTTGGGTACCATCGGGGCACCTTTTCGGACCGCACTCGCCGCCCCCCCCCCCCCCCCCATTCACGATCCCCCCATGCACGCAGCGGCCAAGGTCGTTGGGCGTGGCTTAATGGGGGGGGAGGAGGAGGAGGAGGAGGAGGAGGAGGAGGAGGAGGAGGAGGAGGAGGAGGAGGAGGAGGAGGATTCGACTTCGCAGCGCCCAAGGTCGTCTGCTGCTCCAACCTGGCCGCCGAGAACTTCTGGCAGCAGCGCCTCGAGGCCACGGTCGAGGAGGCCCCGCGGGGCCGGGAGGCGCGCCCCTTTGGGCCGCGGAGCCCCTTTCGGCCGCGGGAGCCCTCGGGGCAGGGCCCCGCCGCGCGCGGGGGGCGGCGTGGCGCGGACGACCCGCGCGGGGCGTGGCCGCCGAGTTTCGGGGGCGGACAGAACCCCCGACAGTGACACGTCGATTAGTGAATTGTCCGTTTTCGGTTCTCGTCCAGGGCGCCGCGGCCGTCATTTTCCAGGCTCGCGCCCGCCAGGTTTGGGCCTCGGGTCCTTTTCACTGAGCCGCGTTTTACTATAAAGGGGGGTCTGTCCATCCCCGAGAGTCGCGTCTCCGTGGGATCGCGCCGCGGCGCCCAGGCTCGGGCCGAGCGACGGGGGGAGATGGGGAAGGGGGGGGGGCTATCACCACCCACCAGACCACCCCAACCCAAACCCGAAGGCCCAGATTTACCCTCGATTTCCAGTGGGGGGGGGTTCGGGAAACGTCGACAAAAACGCGTGTGGAACCCTTACCCCCCCCCCAACCCGAAATTCGGGTCTTCGGGTTGGGCTGGGGTGGTCTGGTAGGTAGTCAGGCTACGAAATCTGTTGCATGCAGCTGGTTTCGGCCCCGCAGCCGGGCCTCGTCTTCGATGCGTGGACGCCTCCTGGCGCCGTGAGGCGCTGGGAAAATCAGCTGCGTGAGCCGATTCTCACCCCCCTCTTTGCTGTCCCCCCCTTTCGCCGAGCCCGACAGACCGCGAGGGCGTGGATACGCTGGGAGGTGAACTACAGAATCGGTGCCGGTATATCCCTGGTCGAAGACTGGCCGAGCCTGGCTCGAGTCCCGGTTCGCTCCCCCGCTGGATCCGGCTCCATCCGCGGCGCAGTCTGGGCGAGTTTGGTTCAGTGGCTTTTTGATCGGGCTCCGGAGCCCTTCATCGTTCTCACGAAGACCTCCCAGGAGTTGCTTCCCGACAGATGTGGATGTGTCTTGTCACCCGCGAGAGGTCACTGGGTCGAAGGCGACGGTCCTGTGCGTGCACGAGGACTGGAACGGCGGGGCTGGCAACGGCCTCGGCACGCTCTACGCCTTCCAGAAGGCGGCCGCCAAGAGCGCGGCGTCGGGCGGCCCCGACTTGGCCAAGGCCGCGGTGGGGTGCGCCCATGCCGGGGGAGGAGAAGGATCAAGGTCAGCCTCGCGCAGAGGGGGGTATGGGGGAGGGGGGAACGGCTTCTTGGATGGCGCGGATCTTCTCTGTAGGCGTGGGCAGGCGCCTTCTGAGAAGCAGCCTCCTTCTAAGAATGCTTCCCTCCCCCCTACCCCCTCGTGCGCGCCGCCAATCAAGGGCAGTGCTGACAGGGGATGCATCCAAGAAGGAAAGCTACATAAACGCACACTGTCGGCGCTCTGCGCGGATTTCTCTGATCTGCGCTGGAGCCCTCTGGCGGCGCCTCTCGCACCGCCCCTGAAGCGCTCCGCGCTCCAGGGAGGGGGTCTCAGCGCAGATCGAAGAAATCCTCGCGGACCTCCAAACGTTACCGCTTACACAGTTTTTTGACCCTCTAACGAAGTGTCGAGGTCCGAAGTCCGAGATTTCATACGTTTTCTGCGGCTTTCCAGCCTCGGGATGCGTTCTGACAGCTGCGCTTCGCCGAGGGCGTTCTGGGGCTGCCGGATCGTCCCGAACGGCCGCCAGAGGCCCAAGTTATTAATTACCCGAAGACCACCGATTTGGGAGGAGAAGGATCCGGGGCAACGTCGTCAGTGGTAAGGCTTCGGTCTGTGCACAGACAGCCCCCCCAGGTAGTTCCGGCTGGAGGTGCGAGGATGAGGATTAGGAAGAGGTGGGAGTAGGGGAGGAGGGAAAGAAGCGGTGGCTGGAGGAAGATGAAAGGTGTCATGATGACGCTGATGCTGTTGCTGCTGCTGCTGATGATGATGATGATGATGCCAATGATGATGCTGACGATGACGATGCCGATGATGATGATGAACATGATGATGATTATGATGATGATGATGATGATGATGGTACGGATGATGATGGTGGTGATGATAATGATGTTGATGGTGATGGTGATGGTGATGATGATGATGATGCTGCTATAATGTTGATTCTGATGATGATGCTGATGCTGATGCTGCTGCTGATGGTGATGATGGTGATGATGGTAGTGATAATGATGAGGATGAGGATGATGATGACAATGACGATGAGGATGAGGATGAGGATGAGGAACATGATGTGGATGAGGAAGAGGTTGGGAATGTGGATGAGGATAGGAGTGAGGGTGAGGATGAGGAGAAGGATGAGGAGAAGTAGGAGGAGGAGGAGGGGGAGGTGGTGGAGGAGGAGGATGAGGATGCTGATGATGATGATGATGATGATGATGATGCTGATGATGGTGATGATGCTGATACTGATGTAAATTATGCTGCTGATGATGATGATTCTGATGATGACGATGACGATGACGATGCCGATGATGATGGCGATGATGATGATGATGATGATGATGATGATGATGATGATGATGATGATGATGCTGGTGATGCTGATGATGATGCTGCTGATGATGAGGAGGTGGATGATGACGATGATGAAGATGATGATGATGTTAATGATGATGGGGATGTTGATAATGAATATGATGATGCTGATGATGATGATCATGGTGACGATGATGTTGATGCTGCTGCTGATTATGATGATGCTGATGATGATGCTGATGCTGATGCTAATGACGACGACGGCGGCGATGATGGTGATGATGATGGTGATGATGATGGGGATGATGAGGATGATGAGGATGATGAGGATGAGGATGGGGATGAGGATGAGGATGAGGATGAGGATGAGGATGAGGATGATGAGGATGATGAGGATGATGAGGATGAGGATGAGGATGATGATGATGATGATGATGATGATGATGATGATGATGATGATGATGATGATGATGATGATGATGATGATGATGATGATGATGATGATGATGCGGATGATGAGGATGCTGATGATGATGATGCTGATGATGAGGATGAGGATGAGGCTGAGGATGATGCTGATGCTGATGATGATGATGATGCTGATGAGGAGGAGGAGGATGAGGAGGAGGAGGAAGAGGATGAGGAGGACGATGATGGTGTTGAGGATGGGGATAATGATCAGGCGGAGGATGTGGATGAGGATAAGAGTGAGGATGAGGAGGAGGAGGAGGAGAAGCAGGAGGAGGTGGTGAAGGAGGAGTATTAGGATGAGGATGAGGACGAGGATGGGGATGGGGATGGGGATCGGGATGAGGGTGATGATAGGATGAGGATGTGGATGAGGGTGAGGCTGTTTGTATAGCAGTGGTCCAGCGGGTCCACCGCCACCAGGCTGGCGTCCAGCTCCCGACGCCGCCAACGGCGACCTCAGGTACTCGAAGATATCGTCCTCGAAGCCCTCGTAGCTCGAAGATATCGTCCTCGAAGATATGGTCCTCGAAGGGATATCGTCCTCGAAGATATCGTCCTCGAAGATATCGTCCTCGAAGCTACTCGATGTACTTCAGCTCGAAGATATCGCCCTCGAAGCCCCCGTAGCTCCGCACAGCCGCCGCGCCAGCTGTGCTCGGCCCCTTGATCGCCAGCACCTTTCAGGAGGAGAAAAAAACACACAGACACAAGTAATCGTCCACTCCCAGGAAAACATGAGAAAAGATGGGAAGTGGGGGGGAAGACAAAAGCCCAGATCATGTGGGGAAATATGGGGAGTGGTTTTATTCGTGTGTGTATTTGTTTGCGTGTCCCAGGGCCCCTTCAATCTTGGCCGCGTTGTAGGCCTGCGCCGACGCTGAGCTGCCAGGCTGCAGCCCCTTCCAGATCCGCGCCGAGTTCTGGATCCCCGGCTGCTTGAGGGTGCCGATGCACGGCTTGGCGAGGTCCTTCATACTTTCCCCCGCGATGCAGCCGCAGGCCGTGCAGTAGTGGACTTGCGGGGTCGCGTCGTATTCAGCGGGGTGCGTCTCGTGCGCTTTCTGCAGGCCCACCTGGACGTCCTGGAACAGCTTCGCGCCGAAAGGCGACGCCTCCTTTGTCACCACCTCCGCGCGTGGTTCCCCCAACCAGGAGTCCGATTTGTGCGTTCGGCACCCTCGCTCCGCACTGCGTGCACTTGAAGTACTTCGCGTTCGGGTCCTCCATGCTGATGTGCTTGGTGTCCGCGAGGAGTTGATTGCGCTTCTCGGGCTTCGTCTTCCCTTCCCTGGGCTCTTTGTCTGCGGGCTGCTGAGATGACTCCGCTTCCATTGCCGCCATGAGCGTCGCGTAGGCCCTCTTGCGGATCTGCGCCGCAGCTTCTTCCGCGAATGTGATAGTCCGCAATTCGTTCTGGGAGACCTGAAATTCCTCCACGATGCCCTCCACGGACTCGTCGGCGAGGTGGTTGCCCACGTAGTCTCACATGTCCACTCCCGCCTCGATAGCATCCGCCACCAACATGTGGCTCTCGATCTTCGCGGCCACAATCTCCTTCACCTTGGCCGCTTCGCGGTACCGCTTCCAGTCGTCCTTGTGCGTGTTGGGAATATTCCCCTTGCTGATCCGATCCGCTCCTCGGGTAACGTAGCTGGAGTCAGTGAGATATATGATCGTATTGTGCGGCTTCATGTACTCGAGCACCTCGACCATCGCTGCGAGCTCGCCTCGATTGGCACTCTGCCGCCAACCCGCCAAGCCTCCTCTCCCGCCCATGGTGAGCATGCCCTCGTTCAACTCCATGTTGAACACGATTTAGCCTCACGCGATTCTTCTTGTTCTCGGGTCATCGGTGTTGTTGCCCCCCGACTCATCGCCTGCCGTGACGACCCACTCGTTGACGTCCATGCGGGCCGATCCGTCACTTCACGCAGCTCTTCTCCTTGGTCAGGTGGCGCCGTGACCTGCGCCCAGCTCTTGGGCAAAATGCCTCTGAGTCACAGGCGCGGCTGGATCTCGACCCCCTCGTCGGCCTTCTCTTTCAACGCTTGGACTTCTCGCGCTCGGGGATTATGCCATTGCACCTGCACTTCCACACGCGATGCTCCCAGGTCTCGGGCCCATTCTCGCACCTCGGGCACAACGCGCAATCAACCTCGAGCCCCATGTCAGCGACCCGCTGCGTGGCCAGATGCCACCAGTGAAGATCGCCTGCGTGGCCCCGACCTTTTCGAACTTGCCCTGCTTCTGGAGCCTTCTCAGCAAGCCCCTCGCGGAGTGGAAGTCCGCGACTTCTTCCAGGCCGTTCCCCGCGCAGCGCTCCACTGCCTTGGCCCACTGCCTTTGCTCTCCGCGAGCGCCGCCTTCAGCTCGCTTGCGTCCACCTCATCGTCCAACTCCTTGGGGCCCTCGCCCCCGAAGACCTTGCCGCTGTTTACCCCCAGGGCCATGGGCTGCGAGTTACCCGGCCCATGTCCAGCAGCGTGCAGACCATCGCCCTAGCGACTTCTCTAACTCCTCGCCATCGATCACTCTCCTTCTTGGCCTTCATCTCCTTGACGGTCCACTCCCATATCAACTTAGCTTTGCGCCTCCTCTTGCCCTCGCTGAGGACGTTCATTCAGGAATCCAGCAGCGAGAAGACCGCCCCGTGCCCAGGGTCGCTTCTCCCCAACTCCAGCTGTAGCAGAGTGGCGATGCGAGGCGCTTCCCGCTCAACCGAGGCTCGATCACGTTTGCAAGTCCCCCCCCCCCGCTTGGTGATCACCGTAGGCGCCGTGCCGAAGACCGTGCGCGCGTATGCCGCCAGCGGTAACGATCCTCTATGCACCACTGCACGTGCTCCGCCTCGAGCCCTTCGCCCGGCTCGGGGCATCCTCGTAGCCTTCTCTACCTGTCTGTCCGCGTGCGCCGCCCTCTTCGCGCGCTGGCACTTGCCCTTCGCGACGTTGCCCCTGTCGATCCCGAGGTCGGGCGCCTGGTCCTTCAGCGTGAACGCGATGTTGCGGCCCTTCAACTTGAGCGCGATCTCTTGCGTCACCTCCGCGTCGTTGCCTACGATGGCTGTTCTCTTGGACAGCGCCTGCTTCGCCTTCTTGCCGCCTGCATCGAAGTCCACTCCTGGCCCCCGTCAGCTGCTTGATCACCTGGGCCTTCGACCCTTCGATCATCGCGGTGGCGTCG